ACATTACCAATGGAAATTAGAACATTTACGATTGGAAAAATAGTTAAATTTAAAGTGAGTTTACTTTGGCAAAATTGATTAGAAAGAGTTATTTGCAAAAGCATTTTACAGTTTAAAAACTCTCTTTCTTTCTCTTTCTCTCTCCTCCCCCCTTTTTCTCTTCTTTTCTCTCTTTTCCTTCCTCTTCTTCTCTCTCTTTTTTTAAAATTTTTTTGCAGTACAAGTAAATATAATAATTGAAAAACTTTGAAATGTTAGGTACCGCACTCACAATCAGTGATTTTTGAGTTCATGAGATAGATATTTGGAATTTTACCTGTAAAGTGATTTGCTTTCCTTGTATTTCGCAATATCATGCTATAATTTCATCATTCGATAGAACTGATTACAAGCAAACTGCACATTATTTCCAGGCTACGTTTCGATATTCTGCTGAAAATCTATAGTGCACGTAACTATAGATTTTCAGTACTGGTAATAAATATCGGAACGCAGCCCCAATTATTCGTCAATGACGATTAGTACTGCAACAAATAAAAACGATTAATGTGAAATAAATTTTTTTTTCTTTAAATATAAGTATAATCTTTTTAAGTAACTTTGAATATACATTCGTCATTCTAATTTGATTGATACGTATTTTTTATTATCATAAATTACAAATGCAACAATTAAATCTAGCAATTTTAGCCAAAAATGGCATTGATATATCGGCAAGAATGTTACAGATTCTTTTTTCCTTAACAACAAGGAATAATGAGCTTACTTAATACGCGAGAACGTGGAAGCTAACTATAACCAATCTTCAAGATATCTATAACAAAATATCTATAACATGAAATATTACTACAGAAAATATAATACGCTGGTATAATGCGATTTTCATAGATAAAAAAACACGATATTAATATCTTAAAATTCTATTAGAAATAAATTTTTTTTATATATGCAATTTATTATATATTTATCATACAGTCTATGTGTATGTTAAAAATTCTAGTTTATTTCATAAGTTTTATTTAAAACGGTATGGTAAATAACTTTAAATTTTACATGTAGAAATAAAATACATTAATGAGGATCTTAACAATATATTATGATAATGGTACTATCTTTGAACGTGAAATAATCAACTTTACGTTACGAGAATCGGCGAAACGTCTGGATGTTTATTGCATCTGACGTTTAGTTGACGTTGCATACTGGCAAAGCATTTAATTCTAGAAATAAACTCTCTTATTAGTGACTCATGAAAAACGTTTCGTGCTCCTCTAAGCCAGCACGAAATGTCGGCGATGACTAAGAAATATCAGGACTGATCGATATCACTCCAACTGTGTACGATTCGGGGACGACGGACTTATCGCGCTATCGTTAAAACTCGAGGTGCACTTTCATCATTTTCTCTTTGTCATGAGCGATCAATTAATCATCCGTGAACTGTCATTTTTTCTCAGCTCGCGTCTAATTCGGGGACAGCCTCTGAATACCTGCGACTTGTTGACACAGACGTTAAATTTAATTCTCGATGTTTAGCGCTTGCGTTTACCAGGCGCTTGTAGTGTCTGGCACGGTAAATTTCGGCTAACTTTCTTAATTCTTTCGTGGAAGTTGTGACTCGTCTTCCTACTTTCTCACGCCTTTCTCAATTAATTAATCATTTCTCAAGCTATGTGCGTCGCAGCCAAAATTACATCGCAATTTGTTAATTTAATTGTTGGTAGTACCACAATAACGAGACTGCCACTTGTTCGATTGTTATAGTCACGTTATGCTTGCAATTTTCAGTCACGATATGTTTACCCGCGCGTGCCTTGAAATGCATCGCCTCGCATTCACGTTCACAGCTGTGCTTTTATCCGCGAGATGCGTAATTTCTCGCGTTGTTGGAGATGGGGATCTCGCGTCCTGCGACTTGTCGATGCAATCTTGCGACACGAGTGCGATACATATGCGTTCATAGGGTGATGAGTCACGTTTGCTATATCATGACGCATGCTGCATTATTTTTATGGTGTTCTCGCGTGGGCGCTATGATTCACGAACCTATAGGCTTTTCCTGCTACCCCCATTCGATACTGTAAAGCATCCCCCCCGGTATCACCAATGTTTCCAATGTCCCGCTCGCATGAATGAATCGTCAGAAATCCCACGCGGACCATCGCGCACCATCGTCCCGTTAATTATTCCAGGTGGTCCGCGCGATTTTGATTAGCCGTAAACGCAATCCTCGTGGGGTATATCGAAGTTGGTGCCATGTGTTGCTCTCACTCGGGAAAATACGTTTATTAGCAGCTTGCGCGTTGACGGCGATTTATTCCGCTATCCTCGCAGATTTATCGATTTCGCAAAAGGGATTATCGCATTGATTCATGATTATATGTTGTTAATGTGTGATCTAACAATATCAAATTTTTCTGTATTCCAATTTTTCTGATACTGTATAAAAGAAAAAGTAAATTAATAATTATACGTAATAACATTATGGACATATATAAACTATCCTTCTGTTTGATATTTTAAGGATTAACTTCTAAATTAATTTGTATAAATTAGAATATAAATACACTAACAAAAAGTTAAATTTTAATAAATATTTGTTTGAATAAAATTTGTAAGTAAATATTTGTAAGTAAATATTTGTAAGTAAATATTTAAATGGAAATATATATTTATTTGAAACCATTAAAAACTATTAATTAGTTTAACTTCATCTTTTTATTTTTGAATAAATATTCATTTACTAAAATTGTTTATTTAGTACTATTAAAAAAAAATATGTAAACTTTTTTGTGTAAAATATCTGTTTATTTATATTATTTAGATTACATTTCAATGAATAGCAATTGAAATTACTCTAAAAACCAAGATTGCGTTTCAAAGATTTCAAAAACCATAGTTTCACTTAAATGGATTACAAAAGAATCCATAAACATCACGGTGATGGCAGAATCTTTAATTCAATTGTAATACTTATGATTATCTTTTATATTCTTAAAAAGTTTCAGAGTAAAGCGTTCTATATGTTTGAATTTGATGATTGTAGAACATTCAAAAACTTCTTTAAAAAACTGTATCATCATTATTCATCAATTATTTCCTCTAATGTTAGTTTAATTACTTGTTCTTTTTTGGTATGCTGCTCTGAATAATGACACTTACAATACTGTACATCGCCATCTAAATCAACATCTCTTTTTTCTTGTATTTTAAATTATTCATTGAATATTTCGTAAAATATTCATATACTATTGAACATATGCTACTGAAACATGATGCTCTTATCAGGTGTTCTCTTTCCTCATTGAGTGCTTCTATAGAAAAAGCAAAAACTCTATAGAAGCATATATCAGATTCCATAATAAACATGGATTTAAAAAAGTTTCAAGCGAAAGTACATTGGTGAAATCTCCTTTCATAGGTGCTTTTTTTTAACTTTTTTTTTTATTATATTATGTTAAAGTGAAATTATACTTTATAGATAAAGCGCCTTTTCATTAACTTTTTTCCGTTATATATCAAAAATTATTCCAAAAGTATATTAAAAGATGTGCTTTGTACAAAAGTTTTACAAAATTATTTCTATTTCTCTACGTCAATAATATTTTTAAAAAATAATTTAAAAAAAGTTTTTCTAATTTTTTAATCTCTTTCCTTCAATGCACGCAAACTGACATTCATAAACTGACTTGTACAATAATTTAAATGAAATTAACGAGTCTCAAATATCCTAATCAGAAAAGCGTTTGTTGAAACGGAAGAAGAAAAATATAACGATTTACTATCAGCATAATTCCAATAGTCACTCTGTATGTCTTATTGCACGAATTAATTTAATTTTCAATTTTTCTTCTAAGGATCATTTTGATAGGAATAACATGTTTTCTTATACTTTTTTTTTAACTTTTTTCAGCTACGGTTGACAATAAAACAGGGTTTTCCTGCAGAGGTTTACATGGTACGGACGGAGGAAGGCTATATCTTACAAATTCATCGCATTCCATATAAAAAAGGCCGTGTTGGTGTAACATGGTCTTTTGGACAATTTCGCCGATTTTGTAATTCCTGACAAAAATAATATGACATAATTAATCTAAGAACATTTTTTTCTCTGTAATATCGTTGACCATGTTTTTATCGAAAAACATTGAAAAAAATTTATCAAGTTCCCAAAAATAATTAAAAAATAGCTTCTAATGTAATTTCTGACGC